AGTAAGGATTTAGTACAAGTGAAGTACATTCAGAAATTTCTTGGCTTATGAAACTTTTCAATATTATTTTGAATTAAAAATATATCAGATGAGTGGAGGAGCATGTTGATTCCTATCCTTAAGAATAAAAGTGATGCACAAGAGTGTGCGAATTATAGAGGAATTAAGTTAATGCGTTATACTTTAAAACTTTGGGAGAAAATTATTGAGTACAGGTTATGACGTGATCCTAATGTTTCTCAAAATTAATTTGGATTCATGCCGAGTAGGTATACTATCGAAGCTATACATTTATTGAGAGGTTTAATGAAGAAGTATAGGGAGAATAAGGAGGATCTACATATGATATTTATTGATTTAGAGAAAGCACACAATAAAGTTGCAAGAGAACTGTTATGGGGAGTTCTAGAAAAAGAAGGGATTAATAATACGTATATTCAAGTCATTAAGGATATGTTTGTAGGAGTTGTTACTTGTGTTCAAACACAAGATGGTTTGACCAAGTATTTTTCTATTTTAGTTGGATTACAGCAAGAATCAGCCTTAATCATATATCTTTTTTGTTTTAGGCATGGATGTTCTCACTAGACATCTGCAAGAGGTTGTACTCTGGTGCATGCTTTTTGTTAATGATATTCTACTTGTCGATAAGACTAGAGAGGATGTTGAAGGTAAACTTGAATTATGGAGGTCAACCTTAGAGTCTAAAAATTTTTGTTTGGGTAGATCTAAAATTGAATATATAGAGTATAATTTTAGTAGTAAAATATCTAGTGGAGGGATTGTGACTTTGGGTGATCAAGTCATTAATAATAGCACACGTTTTAGATATTAGAGTGATGGTGAAATAGATTGGTATACTATTAGTAGAATTCAAGTTAGATGGTTGAAGTGGAGGAATACATCGGTTTTGTTGTGTGATAGAAAAGTTCCCCTCAAACTTGAGGGAAAATTCTATAAGATGGTGGTGAGACCTACAGTGCTTTATGGTGCTGAATGTTGGCCACTAAAAAAGAAGCAAATATTAAATTAAGTGTAGCAAAGATGAGGATGCGGAATGAGCATATATATGAAAAGGTTGGATTTCTTAGTAGTTTCTTTGAATCTATTTCATCATTTTATTTTCATTTTGGTTTAATTTTTTGTTGTGTTTTACATTCATTGTGTTTTTTACTAGAGAAGGAATACATGTCTTTTACTTAAAAATTTCACTTCCACTTGCATCTAGCTAAGGTTTTATATGCAATACCGCATTACATGTTGAATTCTGAGTGCATATGCATAAAGCTCATAATTATTACAACAAATAATCCCATATTTAGGCATCTTTGAAACAATGATATAAGGATGATAATTCTGATGCCACTTGTAGAAAAAAATATTTCTAGAATTTATAGGAGTACAAGAGAGACAATAAGAATCACACTTTTATTAACTGTACTAACAACTTTTTTAAATCTTTTTTAGAACAACAGCTCTCCAAATCTGTTGGTTCCGCAAGTTGATCTTCTGTCATCCTTCAACCTTTTAGTTTCATTTATTTTCTGATAAATACATAATTTTCTCGTTATCAATCCATTATTTCTCTACCTTTTCACTCAGAGTCCTTAATTTCTATTTAGCAAATAATCTTAGTTTTAGATTTAATATCTATTTTGCAGCATTATTTTCTGTTGTGATATGTTATATGTTGTTGTGATGTGTTGTATTGTTGATAAAGTGAATAATTGTTTGGTGAAGTCACGCTAAGATTAAAGTCAAGAGTGTTGAAAAAGTTATGATTGTTTGGTAAAAATTGTTGTGACATTTATAAGAGTTGGGTGAATGACCAAAATAGATATTATGATGAATTACATATAATTATAGGCAACATGAAGTTTGCTAAAATATTATTGGCAACATGTAGTGGAGTAAAGTGGATAGCTGTTTAGGAAGATTATTATTTAAAGTGCTTTAAGAGTTGCAGCAGTTCGGTGAAATATTATTGCGATATTGATGTAAGTGATTGAATGATTGAAACAACTATTTTTGTAAGTTTAATAAATACTACATAAACTTACAATTTTAATTCATATTATTTGTTTATGTTATTAGGATAAATCTTGTTTAACTCTTCCCTGGATCAATTGATTATCTAACTTTTGAAGCTTTAATTTGTATCGATCCTTCGATTCTTTTGTAGGATAATGAGCTCTAGTGGCGGTGGACATGAGATTGGAGCCCAACATTGAAGATAACAAACCTTTGTGGAATCATGTGAAGAAGTTAGGAAAAACTTCTAAAGGTGGTGGCAATGTTGCATTCAAATGTAATTATTGTAATATCACATACAAAGGATCATACTATAGAGTGAAAACTCATTTATTGAAGATAGTTGATCATGAGATTAAAGTTTGCCCAAAAATAAGTTCATCATAAGTGGTTGAATTACAAAAGAAAATGAGTGAAGCTGAACAGTAGAAGAGAACTACCTAAAAAGATTCCACTTCCAAGTACATATCCTTCATATACTTCTTTAATTCGAACTGATGATATTACTATGAACAAATGACCATTTAGGAAGGGGGCTATGAACCTAAAAGAAGAAAATCTGTTGCAGATAGTTCTTTGGAGAAATAATTTAATTTGCAAATGAGAGAACTATTAGAAGGGGAAATAGCAAGCATGTTTTACTCAGCTGGCCTTCTTTCAACCTGGCAAGGAATCCACATTACAAAATGCATTTACTTTTGCTTGCAATAACAACCTCTCAAGTTATGTGCCACCTGGCTACAATGCCATGAGAACAAAGTTATCGACAAAGAAGACAACTTGTCACCTTCATGGTTGTAACAGAAAACAACCCTATGTTCATCAAAGCGGTAAACTGTGAAAGACAATATAAAAATAAGTTCTTCATTTCTAATTTGATTAAATAAGTAATCATTATGGTTGAACCTTAAAATGTCATCTAATTCATTATTGATAATACACTAGTATGTAGAGCCGCATGCCTAATTGTGGAGCAAGTATATCCTCACATTTTTTAGATGCCATGTGTTGGCATATGCTTAATCTTGCTTTGAAAAATACTTGTGTAGCTAATAATACTGAGATAAATGAATTCATTTGCAATAAATGCCATTAAATCATAGTGATTGTAGGAGATGCATTTGTAAATAGAAATTTTATTATGAATTACTCCATGAGAATCTCTATGTTTGATGATTTATCTAATTTGAAAATGTTTGTTGTAGCTAAAATTATTTTTTCCTCAATTATAGTCATAATGATATGATTAAAAAAAATTAAAAAAATGAAATATGATGTTAAAAAGGCAAGGTAAATAAAAGAGAAGATTTTAGATGATTTATGGTGAGATGACAATGAGTACAACTAAGTTTCAATGATTCAATTTATAAGATGTTAAGAGTGACAGATACAAATAACTCTTGTTTATATCTCATTTATGAGATGTGCCAAGGATAAAGAAATCACATATAGGCATGAGAGAAAGACACTTCATGAAGTCTAAAGTTTTTTGGATGTTATTTATATCATTCTGGAACATAGGTGGAGCAAAAATAATATACCTCTATATTGCTGGGCTCACTCACTAAATCTAAGATAAATTTTCACATTTCTTTCATTATTAAATCATAATTTGTTGATCAATAATTATCTAATTCTATTTTATTTTTATATTATTTGAATATATTCAAATAAAGAATGACTTTAAGAGGATCATCAACGAGTTTCTCCACGGAAAGATTTTGAAATTACAAATATGAGAAAGACATATTTGAAGCGTTATTTTTCAAATAAGGAGAGAAGAATTATCAATATAGGGCATGTTAAATTTTTTGGTTAATAAAAAGACTTTGGTGACCAAGAGTCTTTGCATGATATGTGGAGAACATATCCAAAGATGTGGTGGTTGATTCATGGAGCTTCAGCTCCTTTACTTCAAACAATCGCCATAAAACATCTTACTCAGGTTTCATCCTCCTCTTTTCGTGAAAGAAATTGGAGCACATACTATTTCATCCAATCAATGAAGAGGAACAAAATTACTTCACAATAGCCTGAAGATTTAGTTTATATGCATACAAACCTTCGGCTTCTATCAAGAAAGACTCCAACTTATATAGAAGGAGATAACAAGATGTGGGATCTTGCGGTAAATGAATGAGTCCTTTGATGATATGGGAATATTGGAGATTGCTAATCTTTCACTTGATGAGCCTGAATTGGAAGCAATAACATTTATTGAAGATGATATAGAAGTCCAAAAAATAAATCCTTGAAGAAGCTAATCCTATCATTCCTCCCATTAAATAGTTGAAACTTCATGTGCTAGACAATTTATGTTTACCTTTTAGATGTTCTGCAAGACATTTTATGCTTACTTTTATTTTGATACTATAAGCTACCAGACTGAATATGATGTTACTTTTTTTTTTCATTTTAAATATTATGCTTTGATTGTTTTCTTAATTTTAATGTATGATTTATATATTATAATGTAGTGCCAGCACCATACCATATCCTGCACTTTTAATAATTGACGTGTCCCATATCCGTGTCACCGTATCCGTATCGATGCAACATAGTTCCCAGCTAATTGATGTTGACTTTGTTAATCCTCATTGCTCATTCATTAGTTGTTTACTGTTGCATGAGATGGTAACTCTATTTTTCTCAAATCTATTTGCACAACTTATAGCTATGTTACTTTAGGGCTAACTCTTTTTATTTTCTAAACAACAAATACATTGATTTAAAGAAAAAAGATCCTCAAACAAATATTTAAACAATGGCCTAACTTTTACTTTTAGGTTCACATAAGAAGGAATAGTTTAATTAACATAGAAATTTAACAAAAAGAAAAACAAAGTAAATTGACCACAAGAAGGGAAAGCACATCCCATTTCAAATAATTCATTGTGAACCCTTCTTATTTTCCATTCAGTTTAACTAGGATCATGAACAATGACAAAGAGGACAAGAATACATCTTACCTTGCTCTTTGCACGCTCCTTTCCCTTCATATCTTGTTTATACTTCTCCTTGCAGTAGTCCATAAGCTTGCAAACGGCTGGCTTGAAAACAGCTGACTGCGCCCCACCTTCAACCTTTACTTTTCTTTGGACCTGAAAAATTTACAATCAAGATTAAAACATGATGTAATTGGGGACCTGATAGTGATAGCCTATTGAGTCAAAATAAATGCGGCAACCGCCACACTGAAACATGAGCATAAAATAATACACATGATACAACATAATAAAGGTTTGCATGAAAAATAGCACAAATCAAAGCAGCACAGTAACATATAAAAAACACCAACCACGTGAGTAATAAGAAGCAAGAGTTTTCCAATAAACACAAAAAGAACCACAATAAAAAGACTTATAAAACCGAAGATCAACTAAAAAACTGATAAAATATAAAAAAAAGCAACAAAAGCAATAATAAAGCAAAGAATTGCCGTAATAAATCTACAAAAAAAATGCAAACTAGATCAAACTTGTGTGGTGTATATATATATATATATATATATATATAATGCGAGGGAAGCATTCGCCTAAAGGAAGGGGGAGTGCATGCTTCTACACCCAGATCATGCTTCTACTCTACCTAGTTTATCAAAGAAAACTCAAGTGCTTAGCTTAGCTCACTTTTATAGCATGCAGAAAAACAATCTTTCTTATAAAGTCATGAAAATTTTATGTGAAGCTTAAATAACTGATCATCCTTTGAGAGACATTATAAATATGGATAATTAAGTAAAAGAAAACACGTCAGACTCAAGTTACCACCCACCCAATAATAAAGTTATATTCCAACAGAAAAGAAATAATCAGCAACAAACCATTAATCCTTGCCAAATTTCCTAAAGCCAGAAGAAAATGAAACCTGCTAAAAAATCTAGACTACCTACAACAAAACTTGCGCACTAAGAGCGCCCAACTAAAAGAATTTGCAAAACACTGCTTTTATAAACTGACAAGATTCCTCAGGGAGGGAGAAAAAAAATCTCAGATCAATTGATCACTACATAAGCTTTCTGTTAAAGTAATTTGAATGCTGGAACGGAACTGTAGAAGAACAATTAAACCTCCAATAGCTTCAAACATGCAAGAAATTACTAAATTTGACCAAACTAAATAGCATGAGCTAACATGAAGAAGCCCACTTTAAAAAAAATAATAGTAATAAAAATGAAAAAGACATGCTTCGCAGATATAGATAAAGAAAAGTGAATAATCTACCTCAACCAGGTCAAGATCAAGCTTCCTTGCCAGATAAAGTGCTTCCTGTATTGAGACAACTCTATGCCCTGCAAATTGCATTAGATAACGAGATATCAATAACAACAACATCAGCCTTTGTCCCACTACGTGGGGTCGGCTACATGAATCTTTTTTTACCATTGTGTCCGGTTAAAAGTCAAATTCTCATTTAAATCTAATAAAGAAAGATCAATCCTAATATTTTCTAATCAAGTCTCTTTAGGTCTACCTCTAACTTTCTTAACATAAGTCAAATCTAATAACGAGATATCCCATTCCTCAAATAATCAACTAACTCATATTTGAAATTCATGACTTCAAAAAGTAATTTCAGAATCCCAAATTCCTAATGAAAACAAGTTATGACATTAGTGGATGCCCACAAGTTCATCAAGCTCAGAAAGGATAGGGTAAATGACAGATTTTATCTGCCTAAATACTATACAAAGCATAATGAATGGGAGAAACCGTTTCAGGCTCTAGAAAGTTTTGAAGTTCATTCTAATGACCTATGCTTACCTTTAAATCTCTTAAATAACTAAGAAAAACTGATGAGAATTAATGACGCTTAAGAACAGGTAGCAGTTAGCATGTTAAGAAGGACAATTTAAGTTGTTGTTTCCATTTAGAGAGCACCCTTAAATGGTGCTTGTACTTGTTACCTATATAATGCTATCATAGGATATTCTGGAAGTTTCTGAGATTCTCCATAAAACATCTCCCCATTTGAGGGGTTTTATGGAGAAAGCAATCATTACTGTAGTATTCCTCATTCAAAAAAAAAAAAAAAAAAAAAAAAAACAACATCAAGCCTTTGTCCCACTAGGTGGGGTCGGCTACATGAATCCTTTTTTCTCCATTGTGTCCTGTTAAAAGTCAAATTCTTATTTAAATATAATAAAGAAAGATCATTTCAAATATTTTCTAACTAAGTTTTTTTAGGTCTACCTCTAACTTTCTTAATATAAGTCAAATCTAATATCTCTAGCACTTTCATAACCGGGTCATCGGAAGGCCGTCATTTTATGTGACCAAACCATCTAAGGCGACTCTCTCTAATCTTATCTTCCATTGGAGCTACTCCAACTTTTCACGTATATGGTTATTTCTTATCTTGTCTCTAAGGGTAAATCCACTCATCCACCTGAGCATCCTCATCGCTGCAACACTTAACTAGTATTATGCTTCTCTTTTAATAGCCAACATTTTGCACCATAAAGCATTGCAGGTCTCATCACCATCTTATAGAATTTTCCCTTAAGTTTGAGGGGACTTTTCTATCACACAACAAACCCGATGCATTCCTCCACTTCAACCATCCAACTTGAATTCTACTGATAATATCCCCATCTATTTCACCATCACTTCGAACAATAAATCCAAGATATCTAAAATGTGTACTCTTATTAATGACTTGATCGCCCAAAGTCACAATCTCCCCACTAGGTCTATTACTACTAAAATTACACTCCATATACTCAGTATTAGATATACTCAAGCGAAAACCTTTAGACTCTAGGGTTGACCTCTATAATTCAAGTTTGCCTTCAACTCCCTCTCTAGTCTTATCAACAAGAAGAATATCGTCAATAAAAAGCATACACCAAGGTACACCCTCTTGCAAATGTCTAGTGAGAAAAAAAGAGGAGCACTTTAGTCAAAGCTCATTTAGTCCCAGCAATCTGGACTTATAATCTTGTTGAACTTCAAAAGCATTTGCAAGCAAATAAGAAAGCTATGTACAACAGGTAAGTTCGCTATGCATATCATAAAATTAAATGGAATGTTCGAAACAGCAATGTAAATAAGACCAGAAATATTTTGTGTAGATAATCCTAATATTTTCTATCTATGATTTGCGTGTAGTCAGCATCAAGTATACAATCAACAGAAGAATTTGGATAGACTTTAGCATTCTCGTTGAAGTGTCAGATTCATTTAGAAATCATGACTATATAGATCTGCAAAAGTGAATAAGCAAGAGGATAAATATGACATTGCTATAGTATAAATAATGTTTGGCTTACCTTTCAGTTTACAAATAATGTCGGGTAGCACAGATTAAAAAGAAATTATATCAATTAGAAGAGAAGGAATTGCAAGGTCACAGCTGAGGAAATATGAGCAGCTGATTTACTAAAATATAAGCAAGATAGAACAACAAACAACAACATGAAACCTTTATCCCACTATGTGGAGTCATACCACTACGTAGAGTCAGCTGCATGAATTATTCTTCTCCATTTTGTCATGTTAAGAGTCAAATTCTCATTTAAATCTAATAAAAACAAATCATTTCTAATATTTTGTAACTAAAATATAAGCAAGATGAGAGATGTGCATGAGAGAATGAGCATCATGGGGTTTTTTTTTATTATTATTATTGATTGTTTTCAAGATGAGAGATGTGCATGAGAGAATGCCATCCTAGAAATCATTCTTAATAGCAGTATTAGCAAGCACTGCACTTATTTCTAGGTGTTATATGTAAGGTTTTGAAAATTAGACCGGAGATAGAACCAAAAGAAGGAGAGGTTCAAGATTTAATAGTTTGACTGGAGTTGACCCGAATGACATAATATATAAATGACATAATAATGATGCAATAATTATCCAATAATGTAAAATTGTGACCAAAAAATAAATAAAATTCATACAAAAATAATATATTCTATAATTTTAAATTTAAATATATTAGTAATTTTCAAAATAGTTGTCCGATTATTTGTATATGGCTAATTTAATCTCATAGTATATCATGTTGCTCCAATTTAATCCATCGACTATACAAAATTAATCCAAAGTGATCACATACGAATAATATGGAGATTATTTCTGATTAAAAATACATCCTAGCCAGATCAATACTACTTCCTAAGGTCCCCAATGCCAATAAATGAATTACAAGACTACACCCATAGATTCAATTGGTAAAAAAATAACTTATGCGTGCTCAATATTGCTATTTAAATCATTGGTTTGCTTGAACGTATTTTGTTGCAAAAAAGGAAGACATATTGGGTCTTTCCACCATGACATGCTTGCTAATAAAGCCAAAGAGGGTGGATCGAGGTTAAAATGAACTTTGTAATTCCTAACCAAAACGTGTTTGCAAAGGAAGAACCGTTCTCAAATCAGAAGAATTGGAAAATGTGTTGCACAAAAAGGAGAAATGGCTTGAACCAACAAACTAGAAAATGAACCTTAAATTATATTTAAGCAAATTAGGCATCCCAACAAAAGACAAAAGGAAATCTAGGTATAGGAATGTGCCACTATGCCTGAAAGTAACATGATGCATAGTTGATAAGGAGCTATTTTTACTTACAATATGCAGAAGGTGGGGTAATTCAACTTGGATATGAATGTTTAGTTGCTTAACCTAATTTCCATCATAGATTGGATATTACCTGAATTAGACATAATATGATTAGCACAAAAACTATCTTTTTTGAGGGCTCTGAAGGAACCTAGAATTCACTTCACCATTATTCACGAGATGGATCTATGATATAAGTTTTTTAAAAAGGAGAAATATTAGTAAGCAATTACTTCATAGAAAAAGGGGACTACTCTATAGAAGATTACTCATATTGGCTCGACGCAATAGCTCGATGTTCCCCAAATATTTTAAGGCTTACTCAGTTGTCTTTATTAGCCTCTTGTATCCGCTTTTCCGCCCATATGCTTTTCAGACTCTTTATTTTCTTCATTAATAGCCTAAGAATTGATCTACTTGATGCCTTTATTTACAATTTGTTTGAATATGACAAACCGATGGATCTCTGAGGTGGATATCCTATTATTTGCAAGAAATTTATATTTTTTTTTTAAAACTGTAGTCCGTTAAAAGTTATGGAAGCTCAATGTTGCATATCACATCAATCTAAAGGAAATGTATCACCAATGGAGAAATCTACTCATTTATAATTTGCGACCACTATAAAACCATAATTTAACACCTTAACACTTTACTTTATTGAAATACACAATATTAAAAAACTAGAATATATCCTATTATTCGCATTAGCTTGATGTTCCCCAAATAATTTAAGGTCTAGCCAATTGCCTTTATCAGCCTCTTATATCCGCTCCTCCTCCCATATGCTTTTTAGACTCTTTATTTTCTTCTTTAATAGCCTAAGAATTGATCTATTTGATGCTTTTATTTACAATTTGTTTGAAGATGACTAATCGACTGATCTCTGAGGTTGATATCCTATTATTTGCAAAACTTTCATAATTTTTATTTACAAATTGTAGTCCATTAAAAGTTATGGAAGCGTAATTTTGCATGCGACATCAATCCAAATGAAATGTATCACCAATAAAAAAAATCTACTTATAATTCACAACCACTAGAAAACTATAATTTAACCCCTTAACACTTTTCTTTATTGAAATACTCTCGCCCCCGAATTAGTTTATTTCCACAAAAAGTAGACATGAAATGGTAAATCAAGCTTTTCCCTAAGATTTTGAATAATTGTTCCAGATTTAAGTCAATTATATTTCATTTTTTTCTTGGATGAAGACAATCAAACAATTCTCAACCATGATCCTTACGGATCAAAACATTCATATGAGACAAAAAATAAAAAACTCTAAATATTTGTTGTCTTTCACATTGAATAAGATCCCAATATTAACTGTATTTTCACATTGACAAAATCTGTGGTAAAGTTTCATTAAAAAAACATTCTTCGCATGCTTCCTTCACATCTTCCTCTTGAATATGCAGAAAGATCTTTTCTGAATTCATAGAGAGAAAGCATCCATAAACTTTTAGGGAATCTAGCACTAAAGGCTTGATAGACCTTAGTCCAAATTTCTAGGAGAAAGCTTTTGAAATCCATATTTCTACTTTTGATTAAGCACAAGCAAATCAAAGGCAACGTGTGATATGATAGAGGCTTAGAAATCAATTGATCCTAAGCCTAGGCTCTCAAATGACCTAGCTAAGGAAGCTGAAAGCCTCTTAGTTATTCTCTCATATTTGACTTTCAACATAGTTGAGTGCGTAAGGGCATATGTACTAAATTATCAG